TGTAAATCATTAATAAAGAGTTTTAGCTAGAAAATGAGTTTAAAGCACAATTAGCAAGTTTTCATGGAAGATTCCTTGTACATATGTGTTAGCATGTTTTTAAGCCTTATTTATGACCCCTTTAATTACATAAGACTTAAAAAACAAGTGAAAAACCTCAAGTAAGGAAATTTAGGGAGTTTGAGTTGTATTTTCGAGTAGGGGTATTGATGCTGTATGAGTCAATACCGATATTGTTCTTCAGCATAGTAAGAATGTGCTTAAGTATTAAGGGCAGTATCGATACTTATACAGAGATTATTGATACTACAAGGTTTGTATCGATACCCATGGGGTGGTATCGATACCAAGATAGTATTTCAGATTCCAGAATGCCATTTTGCTATTGATACCCTTGTCAGTATCGAAACTATGACATGGAAGTATTGATACTAGTATGGAAGTAACAATACTGCCTTTCAGTTCTTAGTAAAGTTTTTGTCTTCAGTATCGATACCCAAGAAGGAGTACTAATACTCTAGAGTCAGTATCGATACCAATATGCTTGGTATCGATACCAGTAGTCAGATTTTGAGGGTTTTAATTATAAGGGAGTTAAGACAAGATGAGATTTTCCCAAAAGCTTTAATTACTCTAAATAAGACTACAAGTGAGAATAAAAATTATGATTAATTCAAATGTAGAAACAAAAATTAAGTAGGATCAAATAAGACTAGCCTTGTTTGAATGTTCGGGAAACAAATAGGACACCTGAGTTCCTTTAGAAAAGATAGCAGAGTCAAAAGTATAGTTCCAGTTCGGATATATCCTTAGGGATTGCGCGAGGCACTTTAAGCTAACTAACTTGGGCGCAAGGTCCGACACTCAAGGAGTGGGCTAGTCGAAGGGGCTAACCGATGCAGAGATTTCGAGCAACCAGGCTCGATAGACTAGAGGGGTGTGTGAGCTCCGAGATGCAGAATCCTCAGCAGCACCATGATGTCTACTATAGAGTAGCGAGTGAATATACAAGTATACTCACTAAAGAAAATTAGTATGTCGGAATGGTCCTTAAGCTTTTTGGGGCTAATTGGGGATCAAACCAACTTAATTTAATAAAACTAAAATTTAGAAACAAATTTGGAGTCGCCATCGACCTTTGGGTTAGGTAGGTCGAATACCTAAAGAAATTACCTTTTAAAATAATTTTTTAGAAAAATTAAATTAAAAGATAAAAAACCAAAACCAGCCTGCGTTTAACCAGAAACTACTTGAAAAAATGTTTGGGAGTCGATTACGCATGGGGAAGGGTGAGCACTCCCACAACGCCCAAAATCGGTACCTATGCGATTATACATCATCTTTATATCAAAACTTGTAAATTTGAATGGTATTTAAATTGTGACCCCTTTAGAAAAAAATTAGAAAATATATTATTTTATACAAACAATCCTCAAAAACACACTTCTCGCCAATTAAGGCGTGTTTCCATGATTCCCCATATAAAAGATCATTGCCTTTATCTTTGTAATAAATTAGACATATATATTTTAATATGTTCGGAAAATATTTGAGTAATAAAATGATGCCGTTTCATACGAACAATCTTCAAAAACACTCTCCTTACAAGTTAAAGTGTGTTTCCATGATTCCCCTTACGAAATAACATTACATCAATTACATATTAAATATTTACTCAAATAATAAAAAATATAATTTTGTACGAACAATCCTTGGAGACACACTCCTTGCCAGTTAAGGCGTGTCTCCATAAATTATTCGCACAAAATAATATTTATTAATATTTTCATTAATTTATTATTAGTAGATATTAAAAAAATGACAAACTATGACCATTATTTAACACGTACATACGGGCATTTAATACAAATACATCTAAAACGTGCATCGTTTAAAATATGTGTACTACTTTAACTTAGAAACAATACACAGGCTGCGAACTACAAAACACCTAAAAATGGCAACATGCCCGATGTACATATACAATACGTGAAATGGCACCAAAAGACGTATAGTATGGCTGTTATACATATATACATAAATGTTACAAAATATGAGAAATGATGGCAAACAGCATGTAAAGCCATATAAACGACGTGCACTCATACCAAAAGGAAAATCAACAAGAATCTAAAATGAAATAATGTGAATATTTCATGCGTGAATATGAATAACAGTCAGTTGACAAAAATACTATTAAATGGCTAAAAGGTAAGCAACGAACAATTTGGTAGCAAAACGAAAATCAAAGAAAAGAAAAAGGACTGAAAGTATAAGTAACACCAAATAAAAGTAATATAGAAATCGGACAATGAATGACAGGCGGGACTAAAATAAAAGCATTGAAAAGTGAAGGGCTCGAAATAAGAGAAAGTAAACTTCATTCACTGGTTAAAATGAAAATATTACAAGAAAGGGAACCTTACACAAGAAATAACCCAATAACCCTAAACATGGGTTTCCCTAGCCCACAACACAAAAACGGCAGCACCTGGGTTCATTGAGCTTTAATTATACTAAAAAAAACCCTAATATCATATCAGGCTCAACTTTCCACTCCCCTGGCCGTTTCCACATCCAATGGCCATCAAGTGTGCGTCATACACAAATCGGATTCGACGATTGCCTTTCGTTCTTAGGGACTTCCCTTTGAAAGCGTCTTGTTGAAACGTGATTAAGTGTAGGGTTTAATATGGGCCAACGGGTCATTGTTTGTTGTAACAGGCCTGCTGGGTCGTTGAAATGTGATGCCTGAAATTGAAATAAAAATGAAAATATATTACTATTTAATTAATATTTATATATATATATATAATTAAATTAGCATACTTAACATATTAAATTTATTTATCACGGTTATCTATTAATATTAAAACAAAAAGGTTCAAATAAGGATGGAGGATTGAAATTTAAAAATCGAATAATCTCATTAGGCTCGGACGAAATCGAGTGTCTACACAGTAGATTCGATAGCTTGAGCCTTTCAGTTATATAGAATTAGTATTATCTAGTTATTAATGTGGCACTGCACTAATTATCTCAGCGTTTGGAATTTGTTTCTTTACGCAGATTAGGTGGAGCAATTGAGGAGTCGAGAGTGATCGAGGTCCAGACCCGGAGAAGATCAGAGTACGTCTCATCATTTTGAAGGGCATGTATATTTATAAATTCTACTGCAAAGTTGAGTCGTAAATGTATTTTAAAGTTGGTTTGTATTATTTTGATATGTAAATATTTATTTTGGGAGCTCCCCGGTGTACATTTTTTATTAAATGTTTATAGTTGATTTTATAAAGAAAATGATCATTTTAAGATAAGAAAAAGGAAGAAATAAGTTGGTCAGTCACTCTAATGGTTCCTTGTAGCATCTTAATAGGTCGATTGTGTGTTATACTGGTTTAGGGTGTTACAAATTTAAATAGATATATGAATCTAGATTTATGTACAATATAATTGTATTTTTCTTTTATGGTTCTAATAGAAAAAATATATCAAAATTATAATTTTTTGAGTGAATTATATAAAATTAAAATTTTCTCGTTATGTTACATATATATTGAGTAATCTTTGATAAGTACAAGGTAGTATCTGTTCAAAGATAACTTTCAATCATTTGACATTAAACGCTTACACTCCTAGAATTCGTAGTGCTTAAATTCGAGACCTTAAGAAATAATAACAGTTCATTTACTATCGAGGATACTTTACACGCGTTAGGTTATATGTATCAAATAATGTGTTATCGTACACAATTATTGCTTGTTGACTAGAGTTGATGAATCATGCACATGAACAAGCAACAAATATGACATCATATCCATATAACATGGAATCTATTTGTATTATTTTTTTATTTTTCCAAATGAATATTCTTTATGGTATAATAATATTAAGAATGCATGCCAACCGATTTAAATTTATTTATTGATATATGGAGAATGTCTTTTGCCAAATTCCTATTTTAGTAGTTTTGGGGGCTTAGTTTGATGAAATTATAATTTTGGTTCTCATATTACGCTAAAACTGACAGTTTTCGGTTCGACCCGATCTAATAGAATCATATTTTTTTAAAATTCAGATTTAAGTCAAGCCGAGATCAGATGGAGGGTGAAAAACTTCAACCCGATCCGGGATAATAATGTAAGTTTTTTTGTTTAAAAAAATTATTTTTAATTAAGTCTTTATTTTATATAAGGTTGGGTCGAATCGGAGATGAGTGGATGATATATATTTTTTGGGTCGGGTCGGATAGAGAATATATAATTTTCGAATCGGGTCAGATTTAAATGAATGATACATATTTTTGTGTCGGGTTAGATTGACCAAAAGTCAGACCCTAACCCAACACATTTTCATCCCTAATCATAGTTATATGGTTTTTTTTATGAATATAAAAGAATGATGACGATTATTAGCAGTTTATTTTTTTTATTTAGATGAAGAATCGTAATTGGTAGAAATTCGATAGTTGAGTGATGTCAAAATATTTTATCTTCGTGAAGAGGTAGTGAAGAAAAGAGTTAAAGTGAGACGATTTTATTGAGGTAATTTCTCATCTCTCAATTATGTTCGAAAATTTTTATAAAAATGTATAATGGTCGTGTCGATGGTAAAATCATAATGATTATCTCTAGGCTAAAAGTTAAGCTACATGTGATCATACTCGAGAGAAATTATTTTATAGAAGTATGTAATTATCTATTTGAAAACTATTGTGAAGAAGAAATTGATTATATTAAGTATAACAGAAGGACCTAATTGTTATAATAAAAATAATTTAAAGATTTAATTATATTATTTTAAAGTTTGAGGACTAACTTAAAAATATACCATAATTTGAGGATTTCTTTCCGAATTAGTCCGTTTCTATTCTTTATTTTTCTCTTTGAATTGGTGTTACACTGTACCGGAATTTGCCATCTCTTCCTTTCTATTTTTGGCAATCTCCTTGTCGATTAATTTCCAATTCTAAACCCCAAACGCTAAATTTCATTCACATTATTTCAAAGGAAAAAAAAAGTATGTTCTTCTTTGATATTCCATCGATCAGCATTAGGTTACCAGTTTCCAGCATCTTTTTTTTATGTGTGAATTAGATTTCCAGATTTGTTCTGTTGATTTATGCATAAATATAATTGAATATGTTGTTTCCTTTTTATTGATTCAAGTCTCTGAAACACCTCATAATTTAGTTAGTGATACAAGAATTTTAACACTGATAATTGTTTTGATTTACACTGTAATATTTTGTTTTTTCCCGCTTCTATGATCTCGATATGAAACTGGATTTTCTTTGAAATTACTGAAATCATTAATTAATATGTTTTTGTTTTGGTGATCATAGAAATTTAATTTGGATAAGGAAAGATGTTGGGAATAGTAAGGCAAAAGGTGATTTTCTGGAAACTCAGCTGATATATTATATATGAATATGGTAGGCTTTTATTGTTGGTTTTTTGTTCTAATTTTATGATTTTTTTTATTCAGACGTTGGAACAATCATTGAAGAAGATTCGACCTGCAGTGTCGGTGTTGAGAAGTTACTCATCTGCTGCAAAACAGGTAATTTTTATCACTTGATGATGAACAATATTTAGAAGACAGACCCACATCTCAGATGTCTGTGCATTTAGAGACATGGTTATGCTTGTGTCTATTAGTTAATGTATACACCCACTTTGCATTTTCTTGCAGTTATTTTTTCTCTAATGACAATTATATGCAGATGACTGTGAGAGAGGCATTAAACTCTGCTCTTGATGAGGAGATGTCAGCTGATTCAAAAGTCTTTTTGATCGGTGAAGAGGTAAGGAAATGATAACAAGGATCATTTTTTTATGATTCTAGCCATATTTTCAGCTAATCTTTATTGCTTTTATTCCCATTCTTATGTTTTTTTTAAAATTAAAATCTGCAGGTCGGAGAATATCAGGGTGCATACAAGGTTGACATATAATGTGCAAGAATGAAATTCTTATTTCACCATTTATAATAGAGGCCATAGGAGCATTTTTAAAACTCTCTTAAGATTGGATTTTGTTTCCATCTCTTTTAGATAACCAAGGGGCTTCTGGACAAGTATGGACCCGAGAGGGTTCTTGATACTCCAATTACTGAGGTTACTTTTGTGCTGCCTTGCATAATCTCTCTTTTATACTTTTTTTTTGTGAATTTCATTATTATTTGATCTAATGATTAATTTCATATCCTTCTTAAACGTGCATGTATTGATGCCTTTTAGTTTCTTATTACATTCGTTTTCTCACCACAGTTCTTTTGTATCTGGTTTCATAGGCTGGTTTTACTGGGATTGCGGTTGGTGCAGCCTACTACGGTCTGAAGCCTGTCGTGGAGTTTATGACATTTAACTTCTCCATGCAGGTCCGAGAGTTCCGACTCGAATCTCTTCTTATTACACTTTTATTATTATTTTGTGCTACCGTAAGCATGTTGTGAATACATGTTATCACATGCTTTGTGTTAGACAATGAAGTTAACTAGTTCAAATGAATGAAGTATACATGTTTTTCCTTGAATCTTAACATACTGAAGGAACGTCAGTGGTTTATATGTTTAACCTTTACTTTCATGATAAGATACTATAATTGTGATGTTCAAAAGAGAAGATTTGGATGTGATTTATGTATGCTGAATCCTATGAATGTTCCAGCATTGTATTTGCTCCTTGGAGTTTCACATTTTGTTTTTCATCTGAAATTTTTGTCTGAGACATTGTTTTCGATCCCATTTTCTTTTACTACAGGCAATTGACCACATTATTAACTCTGCTGCAAAATCGAACTACATGTCTGCTGGCCAGATTTCTGTACCCATAGTTTTCAGAGGTCCCAATGGTGCTGCAGCTGGTGTTGGTGCCCAACACTCTCAGGTTTGGTTTATTAGTACTGTTACTTGCACCCATTATTCGGTTTACATTCATCTAGTTCCTCTCGTCCCCCGGAGCTTACCAAGGTTAAAATCAAGTTACGTTGTACTAGGTGTTGTAATTATTGTTTACATGCTTCCATATTTTAGAAATCTAGCTTATTTTCAATAGAGTAAGAAGCTTGTTTGATTGTTTTGTCTCTTGGTTAAATTTCAGTGTTATGCTGCATGGTATGCTACTTGTCCTGGGTTGAAAGTGCTGACACCATACAATTCCGAAGATGCTCGTGGACTACTCAAAGCAGCTATTAGAGATCCCGATCCAGTTGTTTTCCTTGAGAATGAGTTGTTGTAAGTGAATTAGTAAACTATGACTCTATGTATGGAGTCCCACCCCACTGGTCCACTGTCGACTAGAATTTTAATGCCTGATGCTACTTCGATATAATCGTTCTGCTTCAGATATGGTGAATCATTCCCGATTTCCAATGAAGTTCTGGACTCAAGCTTCTGCCTTCCAATCGGTAAAGCTAAGGTAAACGCTATAGCACCCCTGAAATTTTACTCACTAGGCTGTTAGCATTACTATTTCCATGCTTCTGCTTCCGTCGGTTCTGCTATAACTCTGATCTTATGAAGCTGCAGTTTAATACATATATTTAACCGCTACTTTAACAGATAGAGAGAAAAGGAAAGCATGTGACTATTGCTGCTTATTCAAAAATGGTGGGCTATTCTCTTAAGGTATGTCTTTGTATATGCAATATCTGTTTGGATATGCAGATGCCTAGTTATCATTTGAGATACATTTCTCGTGGGGTTATCATTTAAGAGATTGTTTGTTGTTCAGGCAGCTGAGATACTCGAAAAGGATGGAATCGATGCCGAGGTAAAAAATTATAACTCAAAGTAGTGCAAGCCCTTACAAGGCTAAATTTGATTTGACCATTCTACAGAGAAGTGCAATATCTGATCTTTGTTAAATACAGGTCATAAATCTGCGTTCGATTAGGCCGCTAGATCGTTCCGCGATTAATGACTCAGTCAGGAAAACCAACAGATTGGTCACAGTTGAAGAAGCGTTTCCACAACATGGTGTTGGTGCTGAAATATGGTTCAAGTTCTTTTCTCTTAAAATCTTTTGAATGTCTGCTTAACATACATATATATGTATTCTGGGACCTTGTATATATTTACGCAGTATACTTCGTTCACAGTGCGTGTGTTGTGGAGGAGAGTTTTGTATATCTCGATGCACCGGTTGAGAGAATCGCCGGAGCTGATGTTCCTATGCCGTATGCGGCAAATCTCGAGAGAATGGCGGTGCCACAGGTTGTTCCACTTCTCCCTGTTCTTTCTACAATTACCATTATGATATATACACGCACACATACAAGCAGTCTAGAGAGAAAGTTTGTTAATTTATACATGAATTGTGCAGGTTGAAGATATAGTTCGCGCTGCAAAGAGAGCATGCTACAGATCTGTACAGTAGGCTGGCGCTGCATTACCGAAACCACGTTATAGCATTTTAAACTCGTCACTCAGGTACCAAATTAGAAAAAAGTGTCGAAATCAAGTACCAAATTGGATACGAAAACACGGTGACAAGTTAGAGTATTGAATCGTATATTCATTAGGGTTTAAATATATATTGCTTAACTTAACCAATGGATCAATTTTATTTCAGGAATGAAGCTCAACACTGTTGGTACTTAAGCTGCAACATATTAATAACTGGGAGGAGATTGTTTGAAATTTGGTGATCATTAAACCTCAAGATAAGATTTTTTTTAATGCTTTTGTTTCGTGTTTTGGTGTGAGGAGCTCTCCCTCTGCTGTTGTGTCTGAGCTTGAGTTTTGAGTATCTTTGATTTTTGATGTTCCTAAATTACTACAAAGTAGTTTTTGTTTTCAACTTTGAAACCACTTTGTTGCAGAAACGAGTAATGAAAATAATGTGAGCATTTAGCTATGGGATTCGTATCAATTTAGTCCACGCAGTAAGGGTAAAGAATTACTGTCGAGATGAAGTTTTGATGGTCATTAGATTCTAAACTTTAATATATTTTATCTGAATTCTTTTAATTAATGATAGTTAAGGGTTGGGTCGGGTTAGGTCAAGTTGAGTTTTCTGTCCTTTCGAATCCGACTCAAGTACAATATCTCTATATCCATTACTTGATCTGGGTCTAGGCAAGATTCACCCGACTAGTCACCCGGCGCTACTTGAGTTTGGACAAGATCCATTCGAGCTGACTTTCAAGACAAAAATATGCATCTGATGTGATCCAACTTCACCCTTTAAAAAATACTTGACTTTATAAAATTAAATTGAATCGAAATTTATCAAATTCAGGTTAACTACTCATATCTACCCGTATATATAGTTATTAATTTTAATATATTTTATTTGGAACAAATGTTGAATATATAAGTCAACTCCATTAGTATATGGCTATAACCCCAAAAAGAGAGACAATTGGCTTCTAAAGATGACATCTTTAGTGCTAAAACACAAAGCATTTCCCATATATAAAGAGAATATATGTGGAATTTTGCTTTTTACATCTCATAATAGTTTCATTTGCATCCCCCTGTATCATCATATCTCACAAACCCCATCAGCTCAGGTCCTTCAAGTCTTGAGTTATTCCTAAAACTGCAACATAATTATTATTAATCAAACGTTAACCCACCATCTATGCAACAACCATCTGATTAGCAAAATTGTAAGTCACTCACGTACCTTTCCTCCGTAAAATTAGAGAAGGAACCCATCGTCGGGATCGTGCCGCACAAATCATTGTTCGATACGTCGCTGTTTCACATGACACAACCGTATTAAACAACGGCAATAACAAAATCGAAATCTCTACCGGACCGGTAGTGTTTTAAACAAGGCTTTTGTATGTGACTCACAAGATCTTTAAATTTTGGAGTCGTGTAAGTTGTCTCGGAATCCTTCCGATCAATCGATTACTGTTCAGTCTCCTGCAAGGAATGGACAGTAGATTATTACAAACTTTAAAGACGACCGTATCGTCCCGATTTTATTTATGTCGTAGAAAAAGTAAAATCAAGAGGGGAAATCTCAGTCAATTACACACATGAACTTGAGATTTGAAAGCTTGGAAAGGGAAGCAGGGATAGAGCCTGTAAGGTTATTATGGTAAAGATCCAAACTCAGTAAGCCTTTTAATTCTCCAATTTCCTCTGGTATTGAACCCACCAAGTTGTTCATGTACAGCTCTCTGCATACAGTACATTAAAATTCATCTCTTGTTTAATAATCATCAAAATTTAAAATCCATAGAGGGTCCATGTACTGTGTTCTTGACGAATTTAGTCCCCCTATCATAATTTGATTCTTTTAGTGACATAAATACATAGTACAGGGACCTTTTATATAATTTGACCTAAAATAACTATTTGCTTACAGATATTGAAGGCGCTCAAGCTTTCCCAAGTCGGGCACTAAACGTCCCCGCAGCTTTGCATTTCCAAGATCTCTACGAATGTTTAACATGAAGTAATTAATTATTAGTACATATTCGTATTCGACACTCGCGCATTCGAATTGGAGTTACTTACAGACGAGTAACTCGATTTTCGGCATCACAGGTGACATGGAACCAAGTGCAAGGATCGACCAAGGTGGGATCCCAGCTCTGCAGCACCTTCTTGGGGTCTCTAACAGCTCTCCTGAAAGCAAACAAAGCATCACCTTCCACATTTGCATTTGCCAATGTGTTTAGCAGGGTTACTGCAAGAACAAGTTGAAGCAGTAGACTGGCCATCGCCATTATTGCTGGTTTTAAGTTTAACAACACTCTAATGGTGTTTTTATGTACTTATGAATCTTGGTTATTGTGAGAAGTGTGTAAGAATTTATAGAGCCCTTCAAAAGGATGATAGGGTTTAATGAATGGAGTGTAGGGGTGTTTCACGTGGGGGTGGGGAGCATCTTCTATAGTGCAATGCACACTCCCCGATTCGCAGCTTGTGGTTACAAGGTGTTTGTAGACTGTAAAGGGTCCAAGTTTAAATTCCATGACTTTGTAGGGGTCTAATTCTTAATTTATCCATTTACTTTTATGAAAATTGAGATGTTGATCTTTTATATATCATATTGCATGCATTAGTGGGGAAAAGACGAGAGCACTGGCAAATCTTTGAACTCTGTAAGAGCCAAAAACCAGACTGGTGTGAATAATGAGACCACTTGCACTCACATTTGTCTATTTTTTTTTTGCCTTGTATATATATATGTTCTTCCACCACCATAAATTAAAAGGGTAAATTACAAATTTGATAACTGAACTTTATTATCTCTCCTATTTCACTCATTATACTTTAACTTTTCAATTTTCTCGTTGAACTTAATACATTGAGTTTTTTGGTCACTCAACCGTTAAATAATTGACGACGTTAAAATTAATTGTTATATAGATGTAAAACGAAGTCATTTTGGTAAAAAAAATATTTTTTAAACAGTTACATTTTTAAAGTCGTTAACTATTTAACGATAGAGTGAGCAAAATATGAGAAAGAGAGGGAGAGTAAAGTTCAGTGACATAAAACTCAATGAATTAAGTTCGGTGAGTATATTGAAAACTTTTAAAGTTCCGTAAGCAAAGTAAGAGAGAGTAAAATTTAGTGACACAATTTATAATTTACCCTAAATAAAAGGTAAAATACACCACATATCTCTTACTTATTAATATGATTATAAATGGGTCACTAAATTAATTTATTTATATATCGTAGAAAACTCTTTCAAATTTTCAATGTAAAAATTGACATGCACAAAGAACAGCAATAATGCAATTGTGACATTGAAATGGAAATCTCAGTATCTTTGAAGTTGTGTCAGAATGGTTGGTAAAATTACAACATTGTACCAAATATCATTATTAATTTTGGTTTTTTGTTACCTAACATGTTTTAGTAGCTTCGGTTATCCATTGGCTAAAAAAGAAGCTTAGGTTATCTATTGATTATTACAATAATTTATAAAACCTATTACTCGAGTATCTGAAAATTACATTCTCTGCTAAATAAACTAAATATTTTCTACTCTGTTGAATAAAAAATAATTAAAATTAGAGTTAATATTTTGTATATTGGATTGCATGCAATAAAATAATGGAGTGAGGGAAAAGACAAAAGAGGAGAGCATGGCAAATATTTTGAACTCTGTCGGAGCCAAAAAAAAAAGAAGCAAGTTACATGTTTAGTACTTAAACTATTATTTTTATTATGTTTTAGTACTTAAACTTTTAATATTTTTTAAAATAATACCTAGCGTTTCTTTTTATTTCATTTTAGTACCAGTTATTAACTCTTTTTTTTGGTACTCGCTATTAACTTTTTGTTTCATTCTAGTACCCAATTTTTTAACGGCAAAATATTAAAATGAAACAAAAGTAAATGTTAGATATGGTTTTGAAAAAGTTAAAAGTTTATGCACTAAAACAAAATAAAAGTAATAGTTTAGGTACTAAATGTGTACTTTACCCAAAAATTACTGTTTTGATTAATTTAAAATCGAATATAATTAAATTTATTTTGAGAGACAAGCTCTTTGAATCCTACTAATTAAATAGTGTCTGGTACTTTAATTCTTTAGTCAATAATATAAAAAATAATAATGCTACTTACGAAAAAAACACGTTGACTATCTCCCAGAATATATGTTATCTTTTTCTTGAATTATTTATTCAAAATATTCACTGGGATAAAGTTGACAAAACTTTAATTAATATATAGACTTAATATTAAAATAAGTGTCCAAATTATATCGATTTTTCCAAATAGATGCCTAAACTAATTTTCATCTCATCCAAGTGTCTATCGTTATAAATTTTACCTATTTAAGTGTCTGGGCCGATAATAATGTTAATTTCCTTGTTAAATGACATATGTCACAACCAAATAATTTTCAAAATTTTATTTAAAATTAAAAAAATTAAAATTATATATTTAAAAAACAAAAAAACCAATTTTGAAATAAACACAAAACTTTGAAAACCTTCATTTCAACCCCTAAACCCATGATGAAATTCGCCTTTTGCAGTCGACGAAGTTCCACCCGACCTCCCTTCCCCCCCGACGACCAAAACTCCATGAAATCATGACCGATCGACGGATTATCGACGATGAATCAACGCTTTAAAACCCCAAACCTTACGACTAAAATCGCGATTCCGACGGTCAATCGACGAAAAATACGACAGTGTATGAGCAGGAGGATGACAGAGACTATGTCAGTGGCGATGGTCGTTGGCGGAAAGGGCTGCAGCGGCGGATTAAAGTTAGGATTTGAGATTTTGAGGTTGTTTTATAATATAAAAAAATATAGTTTTTTTTATAAATATCATAATATTTTTAATATGTTCTTTAAAAAATAAATTTCAAAACCACCAAATTATGACACGTGTCACTTAATGGGAAAAAGTAACATTGTTGACAACCCGAGCACCTAAACGGGTAATGGTTATAACATTAGGCACTTGTATGAGACGAAAATTAGTTTAGACACCTATTTAGGAAAAGTGATATAATTTGGGAACTTATTTTGGTATTAAGCCTAATATATATTATTTTTAAAACAATATTATTCTTTTTGACAGAATTAAAATAATATAATAAATTAATTAATCACGGGTCCATCATTTATTATTTTAGTTCTTGACCAGATTCGGTATTGAGTGGCAGATAGCCAAAAGCTTTAGTTAACTAGTTAAGAGATAATTGCGCAGGAGATCCCTAAAGTATAATCTTTAAATTTTAAAATATTCTATTTAATCCCCAAATCATGACCTATTGTGTATCAATTTTATTGATAAATATGGATTTTATTGTATATACCATAGAGAATTCTTACAAATTTTCAATGTATAAATTGGAATGCACAAAGCACAGCAATAATGCAATTGTGACATTGAAATTGAAAAATCAAATATCTTTGAATGTTGTGTCAGAATGGTTGGTAAAATTAGTACATTGTCACAAATATCATCACCAACTTCCAGTATATTGCTTTGATCCAATTCTTTTATGGGTAAATTACACCGTTTCTTATTAAATTTTACTCTCTCCTATTTTATACAACGTACTTTTAATATTTTTAATTTACTTACTAAACTTTACAGATTGAATCATTTAACTCACTCTACCATTATCTCTCTACCGCTATTATGGCATGTCATTTTTTTATTATTATTTAATATAAAATAATTGAAAATATAAAGGGTGAATTATACCGTTACACACCAAACTTTACTCTATCTCCAATTTTGCTCACTCAACTATAAAATAAAAACAGAAGGTGGTTTAATGCCACCGTAGGCCACCTTCGACTGCCGTAGATGGCGGTCGTTCGGTCCCAAATTTCATAGGTCGCTTCACCTCAACACCTTGAGTCCGAATACGACCTCCATTTTGTCGAAACTTGCTCCGATGTCCACGAATTGGAGATTGAAAGTGAGGAAGCCAAAACGTTTAAGTAGAGATTCAAGGATTTTGGGACATATTCCGAAGAAACAACCATCAGATTCAGACTCAGGGGGGTCAAGATGAACTGACCCATAAATTTTGAAACTGAATGACCGCCGTCAACTGAGGTAGACAGTGGCCGAAATGAAAAATGACGTGGTGATTGATGGCGGCAAGGAGGCAGAAGAGGATTCAAAACAACGTCGTTTTGGTGTGTATTTGAGTCGACATCGTTTTGATGTTTGTGCCATATCATAACACTGGTAAAAAGTTAACAGCAGGGTGAATAAAATGACTTAATCTATAAAGTTCAGTGAGTAAATAAAAAATTAAAAGTACGATAAATAAAATAAAAAAAAGAGTAAAATTCAGTAAAAAAACAATATAATTTACCCTTCTTTTATTGTCTTTTTTTTGTCGGTGCTCAACTAATTGGGTTTAAATTTGAAATAATATAGAATATCTGATTTTATTTTTACAAATAATAATTTGATTCAAATTTATTTTTTATAGAAATATAATATCAATAATCAATATATTAATAGAAATGAATAAGGGACAAAAAATAATGAATAGCATGTGAATGGAAACTCGTCTTTTGATGTGTTTGATGATGATGAAATGGCTTTGGCCTTTAGGGGTCCATTCCTTGCAATGTTTTGACTTATCTTTCACTAGGGTTGCACTTTGCATGTGCTTCTCCTTGTGTTTACAGCTTCATCTTTATGATTATGTAGGGGTTAAAGTCTAAAATTTTCTATAATCATTGATTTAATATACCATATATATTATGAAAATTTTGATTTAATATATATGATCATTTATTTCAAGGGTATAAATGAATTGAGCTTTAACGATTAAGGTTTGATTGTGTTCGTTTGTTTATTTTTGAATGTATTCATGTTCAATTTATGTTTGTTTGCAATTTTAAATTTGTGTTCGTGTTCGTTTATTTATTTTTGAAAGTGTTATTTATTATTATTTGGTTTGTTTAACATTCACAAATATATTTATTTAATGCTCACTAACATATTCGTTTAAGTTTTAATGTTTATTTAATATTCGACAACTAACACTCTACTTTTACCTTTTTATTTGCAAGCCAAATGAAATTGGTGAAATTACACCACTAGTTCTTTATGTTTCACTAAACTCCAAAGTTCACCCTATATTCAATTTAGTCCCTACTTTCATCAACATTTAAAATGTAAAAAAATATAAAGAAAATAATAATCGGGTAAACGAATTTGTTCGTGAACATGAATGAATTAAACACACATGTTCGTGTTAGTCCATGTATTAAATAAACATAAATTTTTCGTTAATACTCATTTATTCCACTTAATAAA